CAAATTTGTTTTCTGGTGCTATAGAGGACTCAGAGCAATGGATTCAAGTTACAGGAAAAGGGATTCCACCTGAACATTTCTGACAGTAAGAGCTGTTTGACAGTCAAACACACTTCCTCGGAGATTTTGGTGGAGTCTCCTTCTTTGGAGATCTTTAAACAGAGGCTGGATGGCCATCTGTCGAGGGTGCTTTGATTGTGAGTTCCTGCATGGCAGAAGGGGGTTGGATTGGATGGCCTTTGTGGTCTCTTCCAACTCTATTATTCTATGCTTCTATAGGCTAACATGTCTAATCAGATCATGGAAATATTAACTTTTGGATTAAAACTTCCAGAATCCCCACTGGCTGTGCTGATGGGGATACTGGGAATTAGTTAGTCTTAAAAAAGTAACTTTCCCAAGTTCTGCATCAAAGGTTCATAGTGCTACGCACCCGTCTACAGCCAATGCGGGATGTGAACTTATGGCATCAGAAATAATTGAGCAACGGCTTCACATGTGATTTTTTCCCCCGAGGTATCAACCATTTTGCAAGATAACAAAGTGTACGAAGCTTTGCAAGAGCTCAACTCCATGTTGAGATTTAAAAAGTGTTTGTTGACAAGAGTAAAATCACTTTTTAAAAGCTACAAGGAATGTCTTAAGCTTCCCTAAGTATGTTTAACCAGACGCTTGTCCCATCTACTTCCAAGTAAATGGATTACAATTTAACGGCCAAGACTGACGGCAATTAAAAACAAAGCCATGAACCGACAGGTAACATTATGGAATTATGTGGCAGTTGTGTGATATTGACACATTTGTGAACTGCAATGAATTGGAATCCAACAGACATTTTGCATTGATGCGCATGAGAAATGCACAACCATATCAGGGTGACCCAACCTTGTAACCACAAAGCAGGACAAGGCACCACAAAATGTAGGACTTTCAAGAAAAAATATCGGATCTCATCAAATAAAAGCTAAAAGCATTCACAGAAATGTAAATTCATGCTTCTTAGTCATGCTCAATTTTGACATTCCTCCTGGACAGAAGGTTGAAATGTAGGACATGTCCTGGGAAAGGAGGACATCTGGTCACTCCGAACCATACGTAATGTTTCCCACATTCGTAACAAAACTCTACGTCTGCTTCCAGAATGTGAATTATCTGCATTGCACAATGGTGCAAAAGTCCGAAGGGAATCTACATTGTGTACATCACCAACATGATGTAAAGTCTAGGCATCTTAATGGAAACCACAGTCCGAATCCTGTTGGTGCCTTATGTCTGTGTGTAAGTTCCCCTACAGTTGTTGATCTTTGTCCGACGCATGAAGCTGGCATTCAATTCAAAGTCAGGAAAGTAAATTTATATGGGTAGTTGCACATTGCACACACACCCCTGGCTGCTGCTTATTCGTATTTATTCTTGTTGTCTGCCTTCAAGCTGTTTCCAATTTAGGGTGACCCTATGAAGAACCTATCATGGAGCTTCCTTGGCAAAACTTGCTTGGCAGAGGTTTGAATTGCCTTCTTCTGAGGCTGAGAGAGTGTGACTTGCCTAAGGTCACCCAATGGGTTTCCATGGCCAAGCTGGGAATCGAACCCTGGTCTCCAGAGTCGCAGTTCAACACTCAAAACGCTGGCTCTTGTCGTCTGCCGTTCCTGAAATAAGCTATGGGTATCCTTTGGCGACCAGTGATGTAGCGGTTCGAAAACAGGACTATGACTCTGGAGAGCTGGGTTCAAATCCCAGCTCATCCATGCAAACCCCCTGGGTGACCTTGGGTAAGTCACGCTCTCTCAGCCTCAGAGGATGGTAATGGCAAACCCCCTCTGAAGACATTTCCCCCAAAAACACAAATACGTAATGGGGTTGCCACAAGTTGGAAACAACTTGAAGGCACACAACCACCACGTCCTTTGGTTTTGCATTCGAAAGAAGCGTTGCACAGCGCAACCCATGCCTAACTCCACCTTGTCGCCCTGATACGGGATTGTTCCAGATGCGAGTCCTGGATTTCTCTTCTTTCATTTTTCTGAAGCGCATCTGCCAAGACGTCCCTCCGTCTGGAGAGGAATCCCGTGCCTGGCTAAATTTTACCATCCAACGACGACGGCAGGCAAGAGCTGACCGAGTTGGAACTTGTCCAGAAAGGAGAGATACAAAAGCTGACCCAGATTTCAGATGAGAAAGGTTCAAGGCATGAAGGCCAAGGTCCTCAGGCACATGGGAAGAGATTAGACCCCGGAGCAGTGTTTGCACTGGAGGGCCGACTGATAAGACTGGATGTCACCGGCTCTATAAAATAATGAAGAAAAAAGGCTGACTGCAGCCCTGGTCCCCTCCCTTGGCTCACAAACGCACAGCCGGCAAAGTCTTGGCCTCCCAATGGATTATGCAAAAAGTTGCCGTAAATGGGGAATACCTGGGCTTGTGGAACTCACTGCCACAAGGATGGAAACTGAAAGCCAACTGTCTCCACCAAACCAGCTCTCTGGAGGATTTTCACAGTACAATGGCTTATTTTCTTTTAATGCTCGGGTTTTTTCTGGCACGGAGCAGCCCAACTTACAAACTATCAGGAATACAGCAGGTAGTTGATGATAACCATGCACACATGCACACACATAAACTCATAGGATAGTAGGGGTTTTCTTCCCCTCGCCATATTAACTGAAGGTGCATCCGCACTGCAGAAACAAACCAGTCTGACAACACTTTGCCATGACTCAATACTTACGGAATACTAGGATTTATAGTTTTGTGAGAGGTTTAGCCTTCCCTGTCAAAGACCTCTGGTGCCCCAACAAACTACAAAGTCTAGGATTCCCTAGCATCGAGCCATGGAAGTTAAAGTGGTGTCAAACTGCATTATTTATGCAGTGTGCATGCAGTTCCCCAGCAGACCACCCTGAGAACGGAAATTTGGCAATGTGGAGAGGCATCTCTGTGACAGATCCCAGCTTCCTTTGACCAGAACTACAGTTTCCAGGGATGATGGTTATACTAGGAGGAAGAGATGATGGTTAAATTAGTTTAGGACTATAGCAGAGCATCAATACCCTCCAGCCAGGTTAGACCACCAGCTTTTCTTTCTTCTCTTGTCAGTCATGAAAGCAAAGTGAAGATCTGAGGTTCTAACTATTGACTCCAACCCAGAGTTGGACTGCAACTCCCAGAATTTGGGGAGCTGCAATCTGAGGGATTTGGGGAATTGCAATCCCAAAAGTAACATTTCTAAGCTCTGTGCAAGGCTGGCTCCTACCCCAAAGTAACCACATAGATGTAATGATTTTGCTCAAATCAAATCTAATGATTTTGGAATTTTTGGAATATATATATATATATATATATATATATATATATATATATATATATATATATATATATATATAAAAGCTATGGATAGTTGAATCCATGGACAAAGACTTTGTGGATACAGAGGGCCATCTGTATGTTTTTAAATGATTTTATATTTTTAATGTGTGGATTTTTAAATTGTTGTTGTTGTTTTTCAAATTTACTTTCTTTGGGAGCCACCTTGGATCCCGCTTTGGGAGAAATACAGAATAGAAATAAAATAGTGTGTGTATGTGAGTCTTCAAGTCATTTCCAACATATGGTGACCCTAAGGAGAACCTATCATGGGGTTTTCTTGGCACCCGTTGTTCAGAGGTGGTTTGCCATTGCCTTCCTCTGAGGCTGAGAGAGTGTGACTTGCCCAATGTCACCCAGTGAGTTTCAGGGCTGAACTGGGGATCAAATCGTGATCTCCAGGGTTGTAGCCCAGCACTCCTACCACTCTGCCATGCTGGCTCTCAAAATAATACTTGCATGCATACAAACTACTTGGGAGGCACTCCTGGAATGAAGACTAAAAGGAAGAAAAACAGGGGGCTCAAAAAGCCATTTGCCATTTTTAGGAGCTCACATCTGGCATGTCAATTTTCCTCAAACTGCTGCCCACAATTTCAAATGAAGACTTGGCCCCTACCGTCTCAGCAACAGTGGCACTTTTTTTTTTTTTTTTTGCAAACTAGGGGGTCATTCCCACTTACATTTACACTGGCTAGAAAATCGTGTTGACAGCAACCCGGCCCCCGGCTCAAAAAGGTTGCCTACCCCTGATCTAGATACTATACTTCTACTAATGCAGCCTAAAATTGCATTGGCCTTTTTAGCTGCTGCATCACACTGTTGACTCATGTTCAACTTGTGGTCTACTAGGACTCCTAGATCCCTTTCACACGTATAAGTCTCTTTAAGCCAGGTGTCCCCCATCTTATATCTATGCATTTCATTTTTTTGCCCTAAGTACCTTACATTTCTCTGTGTTGAAATTCATTTCGTTATTCGATCGAGAGTGATGCTTAGTTCCCACTATGGAAGCGAATCATGCCATTATTCCACGGAGTTCCCACTTACGAAGGGGCTCCTTCCCTCCATCCTGAATGCAGTGGCACCTCAATGGCTCAGGGATGCTGAGGGATGTCAGCAGTGAGCTCTGGAGTCCCCCGGGAGGGAAAGGGAAAGGGAAAGGGAAAGGGAAAGGGAAAGGGAAAGGGAACGGGGGGAAGCCCGCATCGCCTGCCTCCCCCAGCAAGGGCTGCAACCTCCTGCTCTGCTCCTGGGGGCCTTCTCGCTTGCCAGGGGCTCTGCGTCGAGGCCGCCATGTCTAGCCTTCCCCCCGCGCCCCGGATGTACCAGATCTGACAGAGGCCCTCCAACGCGCTCTCTCCGTTCTCGGCAGCGGACAGCAGCGCGGCGTGTCCCGGAGGGCTTCGAACGCCTGACGTGTTTCCA